CTTCCTTCCTTCCTTCCTTCCTTCCTTCCTTCCTTCCTTCCTTCCTTCTTTTACTCTTTTGGATATTAGGCATATTTGATAGTTTCCTTTGGACTTGTTTGTGGTAGAAACTGAACTAAGGACTTCCCATGTACTCAGCCCCCTCTCCATCACTGAGGTACAACTCTGTCTCTTCCTGGAGACTCTCAGTGAACACTGGAAGCAACTAAAGTCAAACTTAGCTACCTAAAGATTCCCTTCCCCTTTCAGATAATCGTTCAGTCTGTATTCAGGGGAAAGTTCATATGTGCAGATGCCAGGACAGAGTCTCCTCAGATGTGCACAAGTGTCACCATTGAGACCATCAGAGAAGGCAGAGCCTCAAGGACTGAGCTCACTGGAAAGGAATAGACAACAGCGCTGGGGTGTGGACAAGACCCAACTTTGTCACAGCAGAGCTGTGCAGGACTCTGCACAGGGACAAGGACGCCTGGTGGAGGGAAGACATTTTGGCCTTGATTTCCAGCCCCTACTAAACGGTCATGACCTAAATATTCTCAGACAGGATGTCAGGCTTGGGGGGCCAGGAGTTGGTTGCTCTGGATAACTATTAGCTCTTTCATCACCAGAGAGCAATGGCTAGCTTTCACTATGAAAGTTGGATGATCATATCCCAGACAGTAAAATGATTTTCTTGTTGTTGTTTATTTTTCTCTTTTGGATATCATGGTTATTGCGTAGTTGAGTAACAGGGCTATCCATGTCTGATGAAGTGAAATTGATCCCTGGAGCCTAGACAGTAGGTAAGAACCACAGTAAAAGGAAGGAATTGACAACGCTGGGTTGTATATGGTGTGACCTCCATATGTGTTCTATGTGTAGGTATACATGTACTCACAGCAGTAAGTAAATCAATGTAAAACGCCACTTCTCACTTAAAGCTAGTGATGTCCATGTTCCCAAGGCATGATGATGTAACTCACTGTGTGACTTAATCATCATCAAAAGGTAGGGCTAGTCAAATAATGTCCGTGAGACGCATCTTACTCAGCATCATTTCTGACCCCATAATGGGCAGAACTCCAACTGTCCCCATATGATTATCATTTATGAACCCACCACGCTTCTCTCTAGCCTGTCTGCTTTGACAAGTACTGCTTCTTAGTTGAGAAGAAGAACTTGAACCCTAGGATTCTGACCTCCGTGGTTGCCTTCCCAGTGCAAGCCCCACCTTACCTTCAAAGTAGATGTAGTTCACCAAGGCCAGAACTGTGTCTACCGGCAATTCCTTGACCACCTGTACTATATGACCATAGGTTTGCTCCTCCACATGTCTGTTGACCTGTTCCATGGCTTCTTGAGTGTTCCTGAAGTCTATGGGAATGACTTCCGAGTGGTATGACTCCGTAACTAATTTTTTGAACTTGTCTACTATCCTCAGATGGCGAGCGATGAACAGGCTGCTGCCCATGGTCAGCTGAACCTGCTGATTTGGCTGGAAGAGTATATGGAGGAAATACTGGAAGCACTTGTGTACCTCCTTTTCAGTCATGTTTATGAGACTGAGCCTCAGTCCCTTCAGGATTTGATGGTGAGTGCTGCCCTTAGCTCCCAGGGAGAGCATTTCGAAGGCAGCCATGATGTTCACTGGGGAGAACACAACGTTGGTAAGTTTGGGCCAATGAGTTGCCTTTTGGAGCAAGAACAAGGAGATGTTGGTGATGGTGGGGGTAATTTTCTGGCATTGGGTGAGCTCCTGGTTATTCTTGTCAAGGTATGAGACATCTGGGTCTTGGTAACCATTAGTCTGGGAGCCAAGGAGCACACAGCATAGACTGGCTAGCAAGAAGAAGTTGCGATAGAAAGAGGGTGACATTTTCCTGTAAGACAGAGAAGGGTACAAAAGCCCTAAATCAGGACCAAGGTAACTAACTCTCACTGACCAACCCAACCATTGAGAGTATGTAAAAGCAACTAGTTTCCTAAAGCTGTGTGCCCAACTGGGCCTGGAATGCCTCGCATCCTCATGATGGAAAGAACCAGAGGAGACCATCCCAGTCATGAGAGCTCAGTTACATTAACTCATTACTTTGGCTTTCTTTTAAGATTTTTACAGTGTCTGTGTGTGCATGCATGCTCTTGTGCTTGCGCTTGTGCACATGTGCGTGTGAGTACCACATAAAGTATATAAAGGTCAGAAGACAAAAATGTAGGAGTTTGGTCTCTTCTACCATGTTACCGTGTGGATCACCAAGGATCTCCAAGCATGGCTGTGTCTATCTTACCCTCCACACCCTTCCTTCACTGCTTCTTTGTTGAAGTCCTACAGTGGAAGTGATTATGGCCTTCCATTTCCTGACGAGAAAGTCAAAGTCCAGTGAGGTAGAAGGCCAATCCCAAAGTTGGTGCTCAGGCAGAGTGGCAGAACCAGATCCCAAAGTGGGCTGACTGGGTCCAGAGCCTATGCTTTTGACAGATCTCCTTGTATCTGCAGTGATTGCAGGACACGAGTGCCATAGCCCAATTTTACTAGGGGTGAGGACTAAGGCATAGGAGATAAAATGGAATCACAAAACGTTACCCAACAAGGAGGTCAGACCAGGATGAGGAGGAGTGTGATGTTTCATAGAAGGGTGTGTGGTTTCCATTGGCCTTCATGATTTCATGGGCAGAGAAGATGCTGGCCAGAGAGGGAAGGATCGTTTGCTGCTGACACAGAGAGCACAGAGTAGTTTCGGCCCATCTCAGCCTTGCTCAGGTCTCCATGATGCCACACACTTCTGTCATCTCCCTCTTACCCTAACCACAGTTACCTTCACATTGTAGGTTACTTGAATATGAACTTGCTTTTGCTCCAAGTTCTGTGACATTCTGAGCCTGGGGATTCCTGTTGATCTCGAGCCTATGAGATACACTAGGTTCTGGAGGCAGTTATGGCTATTACCTATGGGTTTCAGACTACTGGCTCCTTCTGACAGATTGACAGGGAAGGAAAAGGGAGGCGGAAAACTGAGTTGGCTCAGGCTAGTCTCCAGCTTCTGGCATGTGTTCTGTGTGCAGCTGAGGCAGTTCCTGTGGTACTGTCCCCATTGAGCATGGGGCTTAGGCTCAGGGATGGGCACAGAGAATAGCAAGAGGGTTGGTTTTTTTTTTTTTTTTTTTTTTTTTGGCAGGGGGAATCCATTAACTTGTAGGTATGATGCCTCTGGCAGCCCAGCAGTCCCTGAATGTATCCTGGCCACCTGAAATCAGTCAAGGAGAATCAGGACCCTTTAGAGAAACACGGTTGTGAGGGGCATGAGGAGAGAAGGGGAGAACAAATCTAGATTCTGATTTGGACTTTGCCACCAGCCATTTTGTGACAACAAATACTTAAACTTGTCTACATCTTGTTTTAGACAAGGTAGCTGGGGAGAGTGAGAAGAATTATAACTAGAGATGAATCTGTCACCAGGATGTGACCTCAGGGCAGTTCACAGGGGAGGAACGAGATAGGTTTTGTAAACTCCTAGCTGTCAACACTAGCTGGGGGCATGGAGCAGAGATAGAATCTGGGGTTATGAACCCAGATAAGAATGAGGGTGGAGGAGGGAACTGAGGGGCACACAGGTTATCTGGAGAGTTAATGAACACATCTCTTCCTCAATGGGAATGGGGGTTCCTACGAGGAGATCAAGGACAGATGGCACCTGGCTAGGAGGGTGGAGCCCAGAGAGCAGAAGGGCAAGGACTTCAGATGGAGCTCTGGAATTTGGATTTGGAAATCTAGGCCTTTCTCTTCTAAGGCGGTTGAGGCCCATTAAACCCCAAAGCCATACTCTAGGTCTGCAGCTAGGCCTGGGTTCCAAAAGCATCAGGGAATAAGAACTCTAAAGGTAGGGCAAGTGTAGGCAGAAAAAGAGTAGGATTCCCTTAAACAGATCATCTGAAATGAGTACCCAGAGGAAAGCAGGAGGCCTCAGGCTAGCCTAGGCTGAAGAGGCACTTCAACACTGACCAATGCTCACCAATGTCCCCACTATGTGCTACATGCTAGAAAGAGGCTATTCTTGTGTCCTGGCTCTGCCCACAAGAGCTCCACCTAACGCCTGTTTCCCCTTTTTCCCAGATGGTGCCAGCCAGGTTTGGGATGCTGATTGACAGTGCCCAGGGGTCAGCTAAGGAAGGGGCTGGCAAAGGACTTACAGAGCAGAGTCGGCTGGGGCCAGTGGGAGGCTTGTGGGCTAGCTGTGCCGTACCGGATGTTCCTCATTCTCTTATCCTGGGGTTTTATAAGGTGACAGAGGGTGTGAGATACTTGGTCCCTATGGGCCCAGGACCCTCTGAGCCGTAAAAGAGCCTGGGGCTGCATGTGAGCCCATTCATGTGATGATGTGACTTGAGGGCCTGGTTGTTCTTCTTTGAGCTGACTTAGTCCAGCATAACCAGCCAGAGCTACCCATCTGGAAAGGGAAAGGTGATGAGCCCTGTGTCCATTACAGCCTACCTCAGAAAGCTACCGAAGGAGGCCGTGTGTCATCCAGGAAAGTCCCCTGCACACAGCAGTGATGGCCTCTGTGAAGCTTGGCCCTCTCCTTCCTTTTTATACACCACACATCCTCGCAGTCTTTCCATGAGCTGGAAATGAGACTCAGGGCCATCTGGGAGGCTAATGCTTAGCATCACTCACTTCTCTTCTGCCCTCTGCTTCCCACATTTCCCCTCTCTGAGAAGGTTGTCTCCCTGCTGGGAGTTTGCAGTGTTGATGACATGGAAAAAGGCATTTGGCGATATAATCAGGATAGGCATGTTCACACAGGGGAAGTCTTTGGATTTGGCCTCTGGATGTCATCCCCAGGAGCATCATTGGAGAGTGGCTAAGAGAATAACCAGACAGAGATAGAAGAGGCAAGGACAGGACTATTCCTTACAGAGTGTAACCAGCATAAGAGGGACTTCTGAGAAATGAGTCACGTTAAGTGTCTTCGTGGAGATGTTGCTCATGGCTATTGATACATTCTCAGAGGAGGACCCTGCGGGCAAAGACCCCAAGGCACAGAGCTGCTGAGGAACATAAGTCAGGCTGTACAGCCTACTCTTTCACATTGCAACCTGGTATCTCCTGGCTGGAATTTTTGTCCTTGCTCGAGAGGGGAGCTTGCTTCAGGGAGAGCACGTTTCTGTAATTCCTGTACCAGGAGCCACCACATGGGCTCTATGATGTGGCTTCGTCTCAGGCTGGCGCTGAGCCCTGAGGAGGCTGTGAGCTGTCCCTCACACGCTAGGGACCTTCCTAAGACCTCAGAAGCCTTGCTCAGCTTGCAGGTTACACAGGGGTACTGGAGGAGGGGTGGCTGCTATTAGGCCTTTCTCAGGATTGCGGAAAGGCTTTAAACTCCACGCTGACCCTGTGGCCTGATATTGACTGACGGATCCCCCTTCCCTACCATGGAGCAGCTCCCCTCCAGATGGTACCTGGGCCTCCCTCAGTCTTGTCACGAGGATGTCTACGTGTTTGTCGTTGATTAAGGTCCACCTTTGGGTATGCAGAGAGTATTTTAGCAGGCTTCTGGGAGGGGACTTGATGTGTAAGCTGCACCTCTCATTTCTGATTGAGTGATTGAGTTTCTATCTAGGATTTCGGAAGGTCCTCTGTCTCTACTTCACAGCAAGTGTCAGTGGGTTTCACACTGTCAACCCAACTCCCAGTTCTCAGGTTCACCTCTGATTCCCATGCTGTTTCCTTAACACAGGTTGGGGAACATGAGGACATAGCTACTTCATCCTTCACCGAGCTCAGAGTTTTCTTTTCATGCTACTTTGCTTTCTCTGTCCCAGAGCAAAGAAAGCAGGATCTTTGCCCCAGGGGGACAGTCCCTCGGGGCACCCAGCAGTCCTGCAATGTTGCAGGTAGTTTGTCTTAGAACAGAGCAGTTGAGGTTGCGTGCACATGGCTACAATGGTGCAGCATATGACCAGCCTTAGGCACATGTGGAAAGGGGACCAAGGCAATCTGTGTACCCAAGGCTGCCCCAGACTTCCTTTATTCATATTAAGCTGGGGAAAAAAAAATCAACTCCGTGGCCATCGATCATGTCATCTGAGTAAAGCTGGTTTTACAGACAAGCAGGAGATAAGATCCCAAGCTTCCATTCCGATTCCAGAAAGAAAAAAAAAATGGAAGCAAGTTACCTGCTGAAAAAGCAGGGTGCCCTCGGTGGAATAGTGATAGCGGTGCTGTGTGATCAAAGAACCCTGGGAACTCAAGAAAGGCAGTTACTCCAGCACAGCAGGTGCTCACTACTGAAAGCTGGAGGCAGCATACAAAACCTGCCCCAGGGAGGAACCATGTGGTCTTCAAGCAGCAAGCACACAGGGGCAGGATGACCCAAGGCCTTAAGCCACATTCCACCGAGTGTGACCCAGAAGCCAGACTTCCTAAGATTCAGAGCCGGCTCTACTGGCTTTCAGCTGTGCTTTGGAGTAATTCTTCCTTCCTTTCTCTCGTTATCACGTTAGAACTAGGACTCTCTCGGAAACGTGTTGCTCGTTTTGGTCTTTTGCAAGGCATCAGCTCAGTTTACCTTGAGTCTCGGGTGAGACGGTGCTGAGGCTTTGAGCAATCCTGCTACAGTTAAGACGTTGTGGCTCTTGGGGCGTAGAAGAAATGTGTTTTGGTTTTTGAAATACCGAGACCTATGGTGACTAGGAGCAGAGACCTTGGTGGTCTGAATGTTGACAGTCCCCCCCACCCTGCCCCAAAGGCATCTATAGTAACATCCCACAGCCTGTGGTGGGTAGAATATAGTGGGAAGTCCTTAAGTCTTTGAAAGAAGGTTCATCAAGGCAATTGTGAGACAAACTACTCTCTCTGGTTTGCCGTATCTCTGTCTGTTCCCACTGTGATATGTGGCCTTCACTAGAGGCTGGTAGACAGATAAGGCTGCTTGATCTTGGGTGTAAACCATCACAACTGTGAGCAAAATAAATCCCATCACTCTATAAACCTGGCTGCTTCTGGAATGTATTTCGGTCACTTGAAGGGGAATTCAGGTGCCTTTTGCTTTTCCTTCATGTGCAGAAGAACACTTTCTGTGAATTATACTGTTACAGACCCTGCTTACAAATTCCTTATCAAAATCCTCTGGCTACATTCAGGTACATGGCTGGGCAAATGTCCTGTGACTGGTAAAATTTAGCAAAGATGTTTGAGCATGAAAGAGCTGGGCATCATGGTGACCGAAGAAGGTTAAGGCCACTCCCTCCATGAGGTGAGCTGTATTCATAACTGGAGGAAGAAATGACATTAGGCTAGCTTAATGTACTCACGTCTTACCTAGTATGGACAAAGTTTGGCAGATTTCTGCCTAGGATAGGTTACGATCCGGCTACTGTGATGGGCTGAGGCTTAGTCACAACTTTATTAGGGTCTTATATGTATTAGGCTACAGTTTATGTATTTATTGATATAGGTTCTAGTTTTCTTTATGGAGAGGTCAGTCTGAACCACACATACCATCCAAGTATGCTAGTCACTTTTGGGCCAAAGTGAATTCATTCGAGCACTTCTAGCTTCTATTCTTCCAGCAAAAGGTCCAAGAGCATCGTGATGGGTCACCACTGTGGTCATGGGCTAGACCGCCATTTTCTGCAGCCATCACAAGATTCTGCTGATTATTAGGATAGTACTCATGACTTCATGGTGCCAAGTTAGTTAGACGACGACACTTAATGTTTTATGCTTTTGCTGTTGCTGTGACATTGAGATCATTCGATACAAAGATGACAGTGGCGGAATACTATAAATTTACTAAAATTATTATTATTATTAGCATATGTTACGTGTGTGTGTATGTTTGCATGTGTGTACATGTGTGTGCATGTATGTCTCTAGGCATGGTGTCAGAGGTCAACTTTGTGGAATGGGTCTCTCCTACCTTTAAACAGATTCCAGGAATAGAACCTAGGTCACCCATCAGGTTTTACTGTTACCTGCTGAGCCATGTGTCCCACCTAGGGAGGTCACACATTTTTGAGTGAGTCATCATGGTTTTCCTGTACTGTGAGGGGAGAGGTTTGAAGAACTACAACTGAGGACAGAAGACGTCAGACTGACTACACATGTCCCAGCCTTTGAGCAATAGGCTTCCTGTATCTCTTGCCCATGAAATAGAAGCATTCGTCAACATGGGTTGGGCTCTCCAGGGTGTCACCACAAGGGAACACAGCAGTATTTGCTTTTATTCAGTATACACGTGCAGCCCCATGAAGTGCATTGTCTGATTGGCTACAAATTCCAACATTTTTCTTTTTTTCTTTTAGCCAGTCTCATGTAACTCCGCTGGTTTCCACCCCACTATGTAGCTGAGGATAACCTTAAACTCCTAATCCTCTTGCCTCTACCTCCAAGTGCTAGGGTTACAGACAGATATACCATGTCCACCTTTCCCAGCTGTCTTTAAATTTCATACATCCAGTGTTCTGTTACTCTCATTGTCCAGCTGCTTGGAACCTCAGCGTGCTTAGGAAAGCTTTGGTAAAGGCATGTGACTTACTGACTACCTGATTAAGGACACCATTCCAGAAAGTTGCAAGAGAAACCAGAGAGAGAGAGAGAGAGAGAGAGAGAGAGAGAGAGAGAGAGAGAGAGAGAGA